CCGGCGCCGCGCCATCCTACACTGGCACACCGCTACCCACGCGTGTCCTGCAGTAAGAACAATCCTGCGGCAGCACAACGAGCTGGGGACTATGCTCGGGTGCGGGGATGGAGGCACGAGGACGGAGGTCGGAGGCTAGGCAGCGGCGATGGGCTCACCGTGCCACGCCAGCACCCCGGCCCGAACCCGGGCTCCCATTCCCTGCAAAAGCCAGCACAGGAGCGGGGTGAGCTTACGCAACACGGTGCGGGGGGGAAATATTTATCAGGCTGTTTAAAGGAGAAACAGGCAGGAGGCCAGGCCGAAAGAGGAGGGGAGCGAGCGCACAAACACAGGAAGGAAGTGGCACGTCCCTGCCTGCCACTGGGGCGGGGGCCATGGCCCCCCAGACCCCCTCCAGGCTGCCAGGGCGTCCCTGGCGACTCCAAGCACCCCTCCCCAGAGGGTCCCTGATGTCCCTCGTTCCCCTGGAAGGGACGGCGTGCCGCAGAGGGGGTTGGGGCACTCAGGGTCAGGGCTGCTGCTTGCAGCCAGCTCACCCTCAGCGAGCAGGGACACAGGGAACCTCAAACTTTGGGCCGTGAACTGGTGCCGGCAGGTGCCTTCAGGCAGGACCAAGAGGCGCTGAGGCGAATGGGGAAGCTAGGGAGTCACTGAGAGCCTGCTGGTGCGGTGGATGTATGGGCTGGTTTCACATCGGCCCCGCGCTGCCTTCCTCTTCCCCCCACGGGAGCAGCAGCCACGGGCATCCCCATGCAAACACTGCCCCAAAACCAGGGGGAAGGCAGAGGAGGAGGCCAGGCAGGAGAGGAGACGAGTGGGGACAGAGGCTGCCGGAGGACGGGGCTGCCAAAAGGAGAAGCGATCCCCATCCAGACCCATTGCCCCACCACCCTGGGGCACAGCCTTTTTGGAGGAGCAGAGGGTGACGGGATCAGCCCCAGCTCCCATCCCACACATAAGAATGCACGGAGTTGCAGGGGGGAGAAAAAAACCCAAGGACCAAAGAACTTTCTGCAACCCCAGGCAGTGACATACCTGCTCGTGCATTTCAAGTTCAAAATGGGAAAAAAAACCCACAAAATAACCCAAAACCCCTTGGTTTCTCAGGCTGGGTCCCCACCACCCCTAATGCCCCCAGCCGCCTGAGCGCAGCCCTGCACCGAAGGCCAGTCAGTAGAAACCTTTATTAAACACAAAGCTCAGAGGAACACAAGCTTGTTAAAAGGCAGTAAAAGTGAAAGTGCGTCTCCAGCTCAGCCCCGGGGGGTCCCAGGACCCCCCTCCCCTCCGCCTGTCCCAGCCCCAGTGGGCCAGAGAAGGGGAGACGGAGCCAAAAGGCTGAATGGCTGCGTGGGGAGGGGAAGAAAAGCCTGGAGACAGCGTTGGGTCCTCACCTGCAGAGATGCGCCCCCCCCTCCCCGGAACACCCCCGTGTCCCCCCCCCCCGGCGA